ACCGTGGGAATTAGTGAGTTATCTACTAAGCGGCTGCTTATTTTATGTTATTTTTAAGTTATTTCCCTATCCACATTTGTTTGCAGGTCCTACTCTTACCCCCATTTTACTTCCTTTTCCAGCCCTCTAGCCCTTTCCAGGAGTTTTTTAGAGCCATTTTTGTTCAGGTCCCCATTGACTTCAATGGGGTTCGGGGTCACGTTCGAGCCCGAACCCAGACTCGAAACATCCAGGTGTCCGCTCAACTCTAAATATGACAACTATAAGCTTGAACTTAGGAATCAAAGTAAATTCTATCACAATTACCACTAGGGAATCTGTCACTGTTTTATTGTGGAGGCAGCCATCGTTGGACCCCATCACAATTTTTAGACCTACATTGACAGTTACTATGAGAGCGCTTTCTCATAGGGTTGACTGCCCACTAAACCCTAACCTTACCTTGACTTACTCCAATCTTAATCTTACCATAGCGGAACAGTTATACCTGGTACTATTCGTAATGAAGGTGCAATGCTGCTGTGATGTTGTTGAATACAGATACAATTCTGCATTGCATTAATTGCATTGATTTAAAACTCCTTTTTTCAAGGAAAACATTGTTCCTGAATGGTAAATGGTTAAATATTAAAACAGACGTTTTTAATAGTTGCAGTATAAAGCTGTAGAACTCCTGTTAGTAATTACCAAGCCAACCATATAATATTATAAAATAATGATATATGTACATCTCTCTAACTATCCTTCCGTTACACCAAACTAATTTTTTTTTTAATATTTTCCTTTAACAAAATACTATATCTGACTTTGAATTTTTCGAAACCAGCACCTGGTCAATTTGGTTTTTAATTCACTGCAGTTTGGAATTTATTGGGGAAAAAAAAAATCTACGAGATGAGATTTATCACCTTTTTGACACTTAGGAAGAATTCCCCAGTAATTAGGAATTACTTCAGGGTTAAGCAGTTTCCTGTATAATTTATTGGTTGGCCTTTACATGCTTTACACAGCTGTTTTCTCATAATTCAACTGTGCAGAATACTTTAAGAAACTTAGAGCTAAAGAGTCATAAAACTCAACTTTTAGATGGTATTTTATAAAAATCATTAAAGACTGGACACCGCAAAGCACGAAAAGTAATTTACTCAAACGTGAATAATTATTTTAAAAATCAGTGTGAGTTTACACAACAGTGTTGTGCAAAATTCAGTTCGTCCATTAACTAATCGATTTTTTTCTGAAACAAGACCCTTTTGCTTTGTTGAGAAACAAATAGTTTTATTCAGAATATGTATGGAAATTCTAACTGCGAAACATGAAACAAACGAAATGTGCTCATGCATTTCGAATGAATCAAGGAGTTTTTCTTTGAGTGATTTGATTTTGTTTATGGACAAACTGAATTTTTGCACCAGTCTACACAATACTACAATTGCCTGGCATTATACTAACAGTTTGTGCCCACCAGGTGGCACTATGGTAGCTATATAATTATACTGATTGCTAGCACTAATTGAAAGGTAAAAATATTTTAATTCAAAGGTAAAATTTGTAGAATTGTCATGAACACTGAGTCACTTGATTGTGGGAGTCTTAGTACATTAGGAGAATTAATGACAAAACTTCAGTAGAATACGCAAAGAATGTAGAAAACTAAAAGAGTCAATAAGTAAATATACCTAATTCATGTGTTACTGTGAATTTTTTTTACCATCTATGTATACTAGATGATAAGGATTCCAACCCCTAAAAAAAGCTAATAAGATTATCATTTCACCCTGAAATTAATCATGTCACAGGCTCCAAAACAATAGATAATGTCTCAGATGGTATTGCACTTGTTGGGTAATGTTAGTAGATAACTAAAAGTGGAAAAAAAGTCTAGAACTGGATGTCTATCGTTTTCATAGTCAGCTATCGTGTAATTGCTTCACACAGCACATTGGCAACTGTATCTTATTTAAATATCAAGCCACCTCAGCTATTCTAACAACTATTTCACCTCCCGAATCAGGAGATCCTCAGGGGCGGAGTAGACAGGAGATTATTATTCTTATTGTTTTTTATTGCTTTCAAGAGCAGACAAGACAAAGAAATTAAAGCTTTCTGTACCAACCAAATGCTAGGCTATGACAGAATGGGCTGCTTTTTGAGAACATATGCTACTAAAATGGAAAGGTCTTTCAATATTTTAGAATTAAAAAAAAAAAGAAAAGAAAATGATAAAAAAAAAAGTACGTGAGGTAACGATATCAGGCTCATGTCTAAAATAAAATCTTGGCAAAATAGTCGAAACTTTTCAGTTATAATTTTTTATTGTTAAAACTATGAAAACAAATTAAGGCTATAATCACAGTTTTGGCAATTGTAGCCTTAATTTTGCAATTTGGCTTTTTATCCAAAGTTAAGTTTGAAAAAGCCCCAGGAAGCGCCAAATGGATTGAATATATAGTACTTTTATTTTTTTCAACCCTCTGCTGGCACCTGTTTGATGTATTCTGAGGTTTCTGTTAGCAAGTTTTTTAGCATTGATTCATATAGTTTATAAAAAAGAAAAATGTAATTGCTGTTGTTGGGAGAACATATAAATAATATTAATAATAATAACAATGTCCATATTCTAGTTGGTGACTGTTGGTCTACTTTTCAGCTTTGTGAATGTGAAATTTTTGAATTACAAAAAAACTCATATTCTTTTGTAATTTTTCCACAATTCTCAGTGAATAGTATCATGGCAATGCTCTGATAATATTGGTTGTGCGGGACTTTGCAAAAGAAACAGACTGCAGAGGTGGACACACAAAGAACACCAGGGCAAGGCACCCTAAGGCTGGGGGAATAAACTTTTTTTCTTTTTAATAATGGCTATTACATTTCTACCCTGGAGCCTTTACCTCCTAGAACCCAATTTTTTGTATCCAAATTTACTAGGATCCAATACTTAAATTTAATTATCATGTTCTAGTTTTCAATTGTGTGTTTCAATTCTCAGTCTCATGGATCTCTAACTGGGTAACAATGGACAATGTGGCCAACTGCAAGTGCACCTTTCCCCACAGAGCCTCCTGGCGCATTGCGGTAAATGTTCTGAAGCTTTACCGAGACTCTGCGGAGAACTACCCATCTGAAATATTACCAAACTCATTTAGTAGTTTTCTGAGTACCCACTAAGATGGCAATGCTTGCTGCTCTGAACCCTGGTGACCTGAATACTTGCCATTTACATCATAGGTAGCGGAGGGTAAGCTCTATCTAGTGGTATAATTAGATTAAGGGAGCTTCCCTCATCTACAAAGTGCTCTATTTTCTTTGGTTGCCTCTATTATATACATAGGGACTTGCAACCTTCCCTCTGTAGTGGGGTCTTTTTCACCTGGGGTCTTCTACGGTTGGCCAACCATCTCTTTACCTGAAGAATCGAACAATTTGTGGACAAATCCTGGTTGATACAACTAGTTTGGAAGGATAATCAACCAGATAGAGTTTACTGTGCAATCTGACAATTTGGCAATTTATTGATAAAAGCAAATGGTTTATAAAGGTTTAGTTTCAATAGATCTTTATGAGTGGCACTGAATCAAAATAATACTAAAAATGAATTGGTTACCGTTCAACATCCAGAGTTCTGACATATACCATAAGTTGTTTTTGCCAATGTGCATAATATTTAACCCCTTCATTGCTGTTTACCAAATAAATACTTAATACTCGTTTAACGGTCTGCATAAACTCAGACTAAATCCCTTCATTACTTCTTGGCTTCTGAGGCTATTTTCAGACCATTCAATATTGCCTAGCTGAGTCAAAGTATTCTGTGCCATTAGGAGCACTCAGATGTCCATCACAAAGTAAACTGAGCAGCATTCAGAGGTGAAATGTAGTGATTGTAGCATTTACCCAACAACATGAGTGGAGACTGCATGTAGGGGTTAAATAGAACTAACTTTATTGAAGCTGTGCAGAAGTATTTATACCCACAGAAAGTCAATTACATATAATAAGGTAATTAAACAGTGCATACATTTCCCAATCTAGTATTCTTCCCATAATTCCTTGATTTTCTTGCTGAAAACAACCCTCAGACCCACCAAAACAAACAAATGCTCAGCTCCATTTTGTCCATATAATTCTAACAACCTGAAACAATGAAGGTCCCTTGTAAAATGGCCACCCAAGCTATAGGAAGCCCTGACCTGCAACCCTGGGTCCATGACAACTCGTATATGTTTAATAAAAAAAAAAATGTATTCCTTTTTTTATTTGCGCATGAAATGACAGCAAGCGTGCAGAGCCACGACAGCTGCTGCAAGCAGTTTCATAGCATTACATATCGTGACAGGTTAAACAGCGCAGTTTTGGTTTTTTGGGGTGAAGATACCAAGCTATAAGACATTCTTGGTTAAATGTGTACATTCCAAGATTGTTCTCGCTTAATGTCACAGTTAGGTGTTTACAGATATGCAGGTTCTCGCTTGGTTGATTATATATGATTTCGTAGGATATGCTGCATTGTGGTTGCCATGTGTTGGTGTGTGCTTTGCTAGTGTGGCAGCATTACCTATGTGAGTGTGTGGCTTAAGCAGTGCAGTAGCTAGTCTATGAGTGATATAGTTAACTCTGGTTTGCCACACTAGTGAATTAGACAGGCTAGAGCTATTAAAACATATAATGACATTCAAGCTAGGTCTTTTGAGATTGTCTTAGCAAAGTTGGTGTTGTCAACAGTTGAACTAAAGCAAAAGGTCACGCCGATCAGTTTAGTAGATCAATATAGAGAAGTTTCAAACATGCATGGATTTTTCCACCCCAGGTTAACCCCCCCCGTCAGCCAGATGAGAGTCAGTATCTGTGTGCCGTGAGGCTTGCCTCTGAAGTGTAGTGACTGCAGAGGGGCTCAAGCTTGGGACCAGCCATATTAGGTGCAGTCCAGGCAAGTGGCAGAATGATAATTCTCTTTTGGTGTACTTGTGGTTTGGTACAGTGTCTGCCTCGGGTGGCAGTTAGATCCCTGCATTCGTTTTCTTGGTGACTTCACAGCTGCGGGCTATCGATAAGTGTGAGTCTGCTTCCTCGCGATGCTCTGAGAGGATCAGTGTACAGGGGTTCGTCGCAGGTGCCATGTCTCTCACTTTGAGGGTCCTCTCTATATGCGCACATGGATGTGCTTGAGTGGTAGTTCTCCGGTGTCGGTCTCTGCTGACCGCTTGTGCAGCTGTTTGCATGGATGCGACGTGGTTCCGGTTTCTCCGCCATCGTTCAGCTTTACCCGGAGTGGGTCTTGGCAGGTACCTGTTGGTTTCTACGTGTCCCGTGTCAGTTTGCTGCCAGTGTAGGGCGGGTGCGTCTGTCTGTCCGCTGACTTGGGGACCCGGCTCGTAGTCTCCGCCATTTTGGCTGTGGCCTCCGAGTTCTGGGGCTCCCTCACAGCCCGGAGTGCTAGTATGTCTGGCTGCTGGTGGGCCCAGGGTGGTGACAGGGTCGCCTTTGCCAGTCGTTTAATGGGTATTAAATCTGTTTTTCTTGTGAAAATTGGGCTAAGATGCAGGAGCTGTTCTTTTATGTGACCTGCCAGCATGGCGGCCGCCCCCGCCCCCCCATGTTTAATATTTTATCACTGCGAACTTATCACACTGCATTGTAAACGTGGTGCTTTCTCTTTAGATATATCTATGTTAATGGTGTGTATGAAATATCACTTATCCTGCAGTTTATTCTTATAGTTTGTTTATGATTTAAACTTAATCCTTGATATAACGTAGTTGAATATTGTGGCAGATGGATACAAGATAAAAGGAGAAAATCAAGTTTATCTAAGGTTACATGATGGAATGTATCCTTTGCTAGATGTGACTAAGCATGTTTGATATTTTAGCTTGAAAACACATTATGTTTGTTTATGTGCTTGAGGTGCCATCATTCTAAGTATGTATTCTTAACATACAAAATGGCTGTACCAGGTTCAGATTGCTAACACCTTCTTACCCATTTGTTCAGCTTGGCCCAGACTTACTGGCACCAGGGTGGGTAGGTGTCCAGCACCCTCTTTCTCACTGTGTCACTGTTGTCTCCCACCAGGTCCTCACATTCTTTTCTTTTACATGTTTGTCATGCCGTTATGTAACATCTTGAATAAATACAAGGCCTGTTGTTCGATAAATGCGATTTGTCTTGTCCCTGCTGTTAGTCTTGTCTAGTGTTTGGGTACAAGGTGGGACTGGGTATTCATCGATTTGTCTAGTTTCTGGCTGATGTTGGGCGATGTCACTGAAGAAGCTCAGCTGCTAGGTGAGTAGTCATAAGGTACCAGGTTGCTTCCGTAGCTCCTGGAGGCCCATGGTCACATTGAGAAGGCATGGATTAATGGGTTCAGGTCCAGATCCAAAGTCAGGGACCAGGCACCCTGTTCCCTTTACATACCTAGTTTCCAGAGCATTAAAGGTCATCAGTTAAGATTATATCCCACAATTTAATTTCTGATCTCTCCATTATGAAATTCTCCAAACTCACTTAATTGAATTTAGATTTATCTTTATTTTAATAAATTTATATTTGATTTTTCACAATCTTGGATTAAAAATAAAATGTAAACAATAAATGGTGAATAAACACATTAAGAAAGTGAGATCTAATGTTTACACTTAATTTATTGCAAATTCTGTTTAATTTAAAACTTCATATCTTCTACACTGTTAACAGCATGCCAGACTTTGCAGGAGCCTCCTGTATGCAATTAAAGTTACATTTACAGAACAGTAGATAAAAACGTCTAAAGCAAGTTAACATTTGATTGAGAAATATACATTTTTATTCTCATACAGGCAGCCATGAAATTGGTAAAAGGAAAGAAAAAAAACATGTTTAGAGGAAATCTAAATGAGATTTTACTGTTGCAAGTTTGCATTACGGTGAATAAGAAATGTAGACTGTTTCACTCAAAGTGTTATGGAGTTAGAGGACTGATGGATACGACTGGTATATAAATTTTATCACATGACAGGAGGCTTTATATTTTGCATAATCTTGACATATAGAGAAAAAAAGCAACCAATCAGAGACAGTATAAGATACGCCTTCCACTGAGTCGCTTCCTCTTTCGTTGCTGCTCCATCACAAGTCAGGTCAGAATATTGTGTGTCTACACTTTGTTGGCTTGTCTTGTTATAGTTACTTAATTTTATTTATTTACGCAATTGATTTCTTTCTTTTCTTACTGTATATGTATTTATGTAGGGTTTTATCTGATAGTGGGGACGCTGTTTTTTTGTTTTGTAAGCTATAGTCTTGGGATGTCTGTGTACCTACTTTATCCCTTTTATTCCCTGTCAGTTTTTTGAGGTGACCTCCTCTCATAAACTCAGCCCAATACTGATATTTATATTGCTTCCTGTCAGTGTTTTGTTTATCTTACAGTTTATGTCAGTACATGCTACTAATTTCATTATTAAAGTGTGAGCCCCTCTCATAAAATGTTCCCCTTGTTGCCACGCTCGCCACTCCACAGGCACTCTCCCACCGCCACACGATCTCCTCAGGTAGACTGTGGGGTGCTGTGGAGATTTCCCGCCTGTCAGGCTTCTGCGTTCGCAAGCTTTTAACATGTGCTCGCGTTTGTCTATTCTCTCCTTTTCAATCTACCGAACGTGTATATCTATGCTCGTTCGGTGGTTTGTATTTTCTATCAGGTGTTCGCACAGGTTTGTGCGTTCGAGTACGCGCGAGATCTGCGACAGCCATTTAACCCCTGCTGGTTGCTAGGAATTAAAGAGGAGTGAGCCCCTGATTTATAAATGTACCCTAGCTTATACTAGCTGCTGCTTTTACTGGAATACTTCTATACTAATATTACTGGGGGTGAGCCCCCCCATCATATTCTAATATACCCTGGTACCTTACCGGAAAATATTGGCTATTTGATCTGTCTGTCACTGTTACAGCTTCTATGATTGGCCTGTCTGTGCCACCATACCTCCCTACGGGATATACTCCTGAAAGTTTTATTTTTACTAGGTGGGCCCAGTTATTACAGATATATATATTGGAATCGGTGCAGAACTGGGCTTCTGTTCACCTTGCCTGCTACAGGGACCTGTCAAGGTTAGTATTAACCTAGGGTGGTTCAGCTCAGTGGCGTGCTAAGGGGGGGGTGGAGGGGGCGGTCCGCCCCGGGTGCCACCAGGGTGGGGGTGCCATGGCCAGGGGCGCCGGCCCCCCCCATGCTGCAGCCGCCCGAGCGCTCTGTAGAGAGCCTCAGGCGGCTGCAGCTTTGCCCGGGCGGTGCATCCATGAGGACGGACTGCACCGCCCGGGCGCAGCCTGAGGAGAGGGGCTGACAGGAGGGAAGCGCTCAGCGCTCAGCGCTCCCTCCTGTCACTCCCTCAGTTGTAGCGTGGCCGAGCCCAGTATAGTCGGCGGGTACAGGGAGCATCTGTCTCCTGTACCCGGCCGGACTAACAGGAAGTGCACACTGAGTGTTCACTTCCTGTTAGTCCGGCCGGGTACAGGAAACAAAGCTCCCTGTACCCGCTGACTATACTGGGCTCCGGCACGCTACAACTGAGGTAGGGGAGGGAGGGGGGAAGAGGACAAGAGAGGGAGGGAGGGAGGACAAAGAGTGACAAGGGAGGGAGGGAGGGGACAAAGAGGACAAGGGAGGGAGGGAGGGGGACAAAGAGTGACAAGGAGGGGAGAAAGAGGGGAGTGGAGGGGAGAAAGAGAAAATGGGAGGGGGAGGAGAAAGAGAAATGGGAGGGGAGGAGAAAGAGAAATGGGAGGGGGAGGAGAAAGAAAACGGGAGGGGGGGAGAAAGAGAAATGAGGGGGGAGAAAGAGAAAATGGGAGGGGGAGAAAGAGAAAATGGGGGGGGAGAAAGAGAAAATGGGAGGAGGGGGGGAGAAAGAGAAAATGGGAGGGGGGGAGAAATAGAAAATGGGAGGAGGGGGGGAGAAAGAGAAAATGGGAGGAGGAGAAGGAACTTGGAGCTGGAGGAGAGATTGACATCACATACACACAATGCACCCCTTGCACACAGAAAAACACACAATGCATTACACACACAGACACACATACACAAGCAATGCAACTGTTACACACAATGCATCCCTTACACACACAGAAACACACAATGCATTCATTACACACACTCAATGCACCTCCTTTACACATACAAACACAATTTCACACAATGCATTCCTTACACACATATCAGGACATCCCCTACACACTGCACCCCCTGTGAACAAACTCATTGGTGGAACATGAAGGTGGACCCTGGGACCCAGACCTTGAGCTGTGTAAAGGACCCCCCAAAAATGGAGCTGCTTCCCGTTCTTCCAGAACATTGATTTTTGTGACCACAGTTACAAACCGCCTCCAGAGAGCCTGCTCTGCACCAGACCAGTGGAGCCAGACTGCAGCTAGAGCCCATCATCATCCTCATCTGGTTGTAAGTAGGCAATCTAGTATATTATTCGTGGCACTAAGCTCTAATTTACCTCACATTAAAGAAACACTATAGTCCCCAGAACCACTTCAGCTTAATGTAGTGGTTCTGGTGTCTATAGCCTGTTCCTGCAGGCCTTTTAATGTAAACACGGTGGCACTGCAGCACTGGCGTTAGTTAACATGGCAAATCATATGGGTGGGGCATTGTGATGTCACATGGGGGGGGCGGCAAACTTTACTTTTGCCTAGGGCGGCAAAAATCCTTGCACCGGCCCTGGCTGGAGGGGGCTGTGTGAGCTGTGGCTGCACAGTATCCCATGGTAGTTAGGGTGCCGTGCGGCCAGTACAGCTCACACAAGCAAACAGCTGATAAACTGGCGCACGGAGGAAATGTGTATGTGTGACTGTCTGCCTGTGACTGTGTGTGACTGTCTGCCTGTAACTGAGTGTGTGACTGTCTGTCTGTAACTGAGTGTGTGACTGTCTGCCTGTAAATGTGTGTGTGGGGCTGCAGGGATTTTGTAGAAGGGGGCGGGGGTTTTGTATTGGGACAGGAGTCTTTATAAGGGGGGATAAGCAGGGGATTTGTGGAAGGGGGTTGCGGGGGTTTTGTAGACGGGGCAGTACAGGATTTGTAGAAGGGGCAGGACAGAGGTTTTGTAGGAGGGGCGGGGCAGGACAAGGGTTTTGTAGGAGGGGCTGACAGCGGTTTTGCAAAGTTTACAAATTGTAAAAAAAAAAGAAAGAAAACCTTTTTTACAGGTTTTTTTTTTTGGGGGGGTGGGGGTGGGTGCCAAGCACAAGATCCGCCCCGAGTGCCAAATGCTCTAGGTACGCCCCTGTTCGAGGGCACCCCTTAATAAATGCCTATACTATATAACTCAACCCCCAAAAAGGAATAAAGAGACAGAGGATAGGACAAGTAAAAAGAATGCCTAGTTGTAAAAGTAAGATCGCTAGTCAGACCGCGGCTGAATAAGTGCAGCAGCAGAGGAATGTCAAGCTAGGCTTCCTGAGCCCCTGACCTGCACGTTTCGTCTG